GCTGAAACGCTATATTGCATATGCTAAGACTCTGAAACCAAAGGTCTGCTGTCTACACTACCCCACAATCACGACACCACCTCAAAGCTATTTGCCTTCTGGCTTGTTTAACCAAGCTAAAATAAATTGTGCAGTTAGACTCAGATGCTAGAAAGCTGTTGGTAGACTCTTATGTGGCTCTCAGAAGAGGTGATACTGCTCCTGGTAGTAGAGTTGCTTATCGCATGACAGTTAGGCAACTAGAGGCCCTGATTAGACTGTCAGAGGCCATTGCTCGATGTCATCTGGATGCTCAGGTGCCTAAAACTGTACAAGTTATTTATCTGGATTTGAGATTAGATACATGTCTTTCTTGCTCCTAACAAACAATTCATACAGGTAAAACCACCCCATGTACGTTTAGCAGTGAGATTGCTGAAAACGTCAGTAATCAGGTAAGAAAACAATGAGACTATGTTAAATATCCTCCTCCCTCCCCCTCTCGCCCTCTCAGACAGAGGTTGGTTTTGTGGCAATAATGTTTGTTTTAATTTTTCATCCAGTGTGGAGTCTAGCGAAATTGATCTATCGGAGTTTGAAGAAACTCATGACAATATGGAGGGTGATGATAATCGAAATAATGGTACTGATCCAGGTGATGACAATGGAAATAATGGTACTGATCCAGGTGATGATCAAACAAGGAAAGCCAAAGCTGAGCCAGTTTCTGGGGATGCTGGTATGAGTATGGGACCTATCTTTGTGTATGCTTTCTTCTAACTTTATCTTGGCATGATCATTTTATGTCGATTATGATGGTGCAGAAGATGGATCAGCTCCTGCAAAACAACAAGGAAAGATTACAATGAGTCATGAATACTTTGAGAGGGTTACCCAGGCCCTTGTCATGCGTCTTAGACAGCACGAAGAAGATGTTATACGAAGTGGTAAGGCACTTTTTTATTGTTTTCTTATTAACTTTTACATAATGATGAAATGTAAGATCAATCTGCCTTTAGAATTTTAGTTCCAGTTACCAAGGCATTGATATTATTGTTTGCGAAGTATCATAACTCTTGTTTATCCGACCAGCTATGCACACTCCGATGCCCCAATTATTTCTGAATCTCTAAATAGAGATATTTATGTATTTTGTTTGTCCAATCAAGCAATTTAACTATATAATCTTTAAAATAAATCTCTGGATTTGAAATCTTTCTTTCCAAATGGACTCAAGCTGTATTCTTAACCAATACCTAGTAAGTAGTAATTCATATTCATTTTGTTGAAAGAATTTGAGGATTCCTTGTTTTTGCAGGGACAGGGCTGGCTGGAATGAGGCAGAGGGACTTGATTCAATGGTATGTGAGTCAGCAGAATGAGAAAAATGCATACACTTCCGAGGAGGAGGCACGTCTTGAAGCATCCAAAATCAAAGCCATCATAGAGGTAAAAATACAGTTATCTTGCACCCTAACCTTAGTGTAATAATATCATATTAATTGGCCACAATAGCTATTATCTTTACTTAAACAAGAAAAACGAATGCCTGTAATGCAGAGTTTGATAAGAAGAGAAGGATATTTGATAGTAGTAGATGACGGAGGGCAAGCAGCAGAAGGCGAAGGCGAAGACGCAGGGCAGCCATCAATATCTAGAAATATAAGAAATTCAAGAATATTGGCTGTGGCTCCCAACTACGTCGTAGATTAATGCAGTAATGCTGTTAAGTGGGAAACCATCGTATTATTTATTGTCCATAAGTTCACGATCAGCCGAATGTAATTTGTTGATCTGTTTTGAGCTAAGTTTGGCTTTGTCATGTTGAAGCAAATTTTTGTTTCAGAAAGAGAACTGTCGGTAGTTAATTAGAGTAGAAAAGTTTGTAATGTCATTGGCACATTGATATTTGTTTGTCTCACCCATTTTACCAATGAAATGAACTACTTTATGAAATATCTTTTTCGGTTTTGTTTCTGCAACAGGGCTTTGATTTATATATAAAATCTCAAGCGTGTGGTTCACTGAAAATTAATAGGGTTTTGCGTTTATGATTTTTAATGTGAGGAGGAAGATGACAGAAACGTCAAATTGGGATGCTTAGGTTGGAAAACACCTCAGAATTGGCTAAGAATAGGAGCAATCAAATCAAATATTAATTAGCGTGAAGGCTAATAATCTATCTAAGCTAATGACTTTCGTTTTCAGAGTGACATAGGGTTTGATTGTTATGTTATGCTATTTTCATATAGAGTTTTGCACTCAAACGCTACCCTCCACGTCATATGCTTTGTGTGTTTTTTTGAACATTTTGGGTATCATTTTATGCTTGCTGAAGCCATTGACGAAGACTAATTTATTTATATTCATCACATATTATCATAGTATTGTTAAATTTCAGAGAGACGGATCACAAAAGACCTCGGTAATATTAGTACAGGAACCATTCATTATATCTTGTATTTTATTTAGTCATTTTTCCAATGCGAGACTTTATATTCTTCAACAAAAAATCTCATCCAAATATAATTTGGTGAATTGGTCCAAATTCTCATTTTGAGACAAATAAATAGTTGGGGACAATGGCCATCACATCTTGATAATTGAATGTGTAATCTTGACCAGCTCCATTCTTGTTTCTTGCCTTGCCAAATAGAATTTTTCTAATTCAAGTATTGAAAATTGTATTCACTAATTAGCATTTTAATAAAACTTGATTAGTGTGACATAGACTCAATTATGGTCTTTGAGGCTCTTCCTTGAAGAAGAATGCTATAACCTCACCAAACTTTATAAGATACTTTATAAGCAACATTTATAAATTTATATTACTTACAATAATTGGATTGGTTTTGGGTTCATTTGATTCTTATAAGTAATTGACAACTTTTAACTGTTTTTATAATTTTCAAGTCCAATCTAATTAAGAATGTTTAAAGATTCAATAATCAATCCAAATAGGTTATTAGATTGAACTTGTTATTAAAGGAAATGATCTGTGGCATCAAACATAATGCTAGCTGTTAAGGTGTGCATTTGATCAAGCTTACAATTATTTGCAAATATTTGTTTTTTATACAAGCGATAATCTAAATCTAAGCTAATTTGAACTCGGGTGCATAGTGGCGAGTGCATCATGCAAATATTTGTTTAAGAACAGATTAAGTTTTGGTTACTCTATTACATATTTGCTTAAAATTCACTCCTTATCCCTTCCAAAATGCTAATATCTAGAAAGAATAAATGTTTGAACAATTCCTTCCCATTTGTCATGATTTAATTCAAATGTTTGAAGCCAATAGTTGAACCAGAGATGGAACAAGACAAAGAATTGAAAACAACAATACTTCATCGCTCTAATTAATGCAATAATTTTCAACTAATCACTTCTCATGATCAAGTTGCCTTGAGACTGCTCACCAGCCTTATGTCATAATAATTAGGACAGATTGGATTCCTCAAATCACATTTTGACTAGACTTTCCATTTCAATCTTGATCCAAAGGGAGATAGATACTGCATAATGATATCAGCAACAAGATGCCGCAGAATTTTACAACAGTCAAACTTTCAATTTAATTTTGTCTGGCTGGGTGAGGCAAATGGGTGGCTGACAGATTGCCAAAGAAAAAATCATATCCCCTAACCTCTGGAAAGATGTTCTCTAATCTCTCCCTCCCCTGAAATTAATTAATGTAATAGCAGAATTATAAAACAAACCCGGGTGGCAAATCAATGCAACTTTTACACATAATACATAAAAATCTTTGTTTTTCCAGACCCAAATATGCTTTTTCAGATAGTTTCTTTCAACTAGCTGATATCAATTTAATCACCTGCCATTCAACCAAACATGCCACTACTGTTTATTCTTTGTAGCAAAATCAGAATATTGTCAATTCAAAATGCATGCTGTCTTGTACCAAAAGCACTTGAAAAAAAATCCAATTATATACCATAGATTAGCCAAATCCTATGCAGCTAATAACATCTGTCAACCCCACAATAAACTAATACAAGTTCCTTGTCCCCCACTCCCCCAAACACACACACACAAAAAAAGAAAAAAAAAAAAAAGAAAGAAAAAGAATCCCATGTGGATGCAAGCTAAGCTAGGCTGAGCCAGCTACCTATGCATTTTGCATGGGTTTAATTAATTTGTGATTGTATTCGCATAACACATTGAAACAAAAGAGTAACATGGCATGAATTTTTGTCCACATTATTGTCAATGGGGCCATGGGGTTTGGTTTTCTTTGAAGAAAAATTTGCTGACAGCCATTGACGGCGTGATTGCTAACACCAGCGAAGCCACGTGACAAGTTTTGTCAATTGCGAAGCTGACCGAAGAAGAAGAAGCCAGAGGAGGAGGAGGACGACGAGGAGGGAAGAAGAAGCCAGAAGGAAAGCATATACGTTACGATTGAATTTTTACAGATCAGTATCAAACTTGGCAAGCCCTTTAAGGGTCCCACGTTAATATAATACCTGTCCATTGAGATGATTGCCAGCTGTCACCTTCCCTAGAGGCCCCACACCCCATTTTCTCTTCCCTGTTTTACCCTCCAAGTCCCCCACCTATTTACAACAATACCACTGACCACCCTGGCCTCGAATCTGTTATGAAATCTCGAAATAATTGGCCAAACCTACCTGTGAATTTTGGTGGACTGTCAAAGCCCTTGTATTTTATGTGTATGCGCGGTGACGGCGGAGGGTAGTATAGGAAATTTGCATGGGAGAGGTTGGCTGGTATCAATGAATAAGTGGGTATTTTGGTAATTAAGGTGGGATCGTAGGGATTAGTATGGAGGAAAACATACGTCTGGATGTTTGATGTGCCAGGTTTTAAAGCTTTATGTGGCTTAGTTTGGAGAGACAGTTGGCTACTATAGTACTTAAGCATTGAGGTGGACCTTGAGAGCTTGATTGGAGAATTCAACAACAAATAGAAGAGAGAGAGAGAGAGAGAGAGAGAGAGAGAGAGAAGAGATAGAAAGAGAGAGAGAGAGAGAGAGAGAGAGAGAGAGAGAGAGAAGTGATAGAATTAAGTAGGTAAGACAGAGAGAGATTATTCTTTAACTTATAGCTTCATCAAGTTCTTTTTGTTCTTGCAGACTTGAATTTCAGTACTTGGTTTTGTTTTTGCAACCATATCTTTCATCAACTTTTGGTGTTGATTGTTCGTTTCTTTTGGTTTTGTTTTTAGACTTGTTTTAAGGGATATTTGAGTTGAAAAAAGAGATGGGTTATTGGCAAACCAAGGTGCTTCCAAAGATCAAGAAGGTCTTCGAGAACAAAAACAGTGGAAAAAAGGCTGCTGCTGCCGAGGCTTGCAAGTCCTTTGATGAGTCTAAGGTTTGCTTATTATTACTCTCACTCATCTTCCTTTAATAAAATTTTATTTACTGTACGTACTTTCATGTAACAAGTTATATTCAACATGTCTGTTCCAGGAGGATTATAGCAAGCAGTTTGAAGAGAAGAAAGATGAGCTTCAAGCAAAAGTAGTTGAAATATATGAAGGTTCCTCTGCTGAGATTAAGGTAAGATAATTAAAAACTTACCAACAAACAACAAAAGAGTGAGTGGATTAACCAACTAATTATAATTTCACCTTAATTAAACAGACTTTGGTTAAGGAGCGCAAGGAGGCAGGGTTGAAGAAGCACTCAGCTGCAGTCCACAAGTTCCTTGAACAGCTAGAGAAAATTGGTATATAACTGTCAAATCATATTTAATTTCATCTTATTTTTCCTGGGCTGTTTTTGTTTAATTTTTTTTGTGTGTTTTGCTTAATTGGGTTAAATTTTGCATGAACAGATTTTCCAGGATCCAAACCAGTATCAGAAGCATCATCAAAGTATGGGCCAGCCTATGTGTCAGGTCCAGTTTTCTTTGTGTTTGAGAAGGTCTCAACATTCACTGTGGTAGAGGAGAAAGTGGAGCCTCCACCACCACCACCAGCAACAGAAACCACAGCAACAAAAACTGAAGAGGAAACAAGTGGTGCTGTAAAAGAAAGGGAGATAGTGGTTGAAGAAGAGAAGAAGGAAGAGGTTGTGGAGATCAAGAAAGATGAAGAGGTTGTGGAGATCAAGAAAGAGGAAGAGGTTGTGGAGGTTAAGAAAGAAGAGGCGGTTGAGAAAGCTACAACAACTGAGACTGAACCAGCTTCTGAGGCTCCAAAGGTGGAGGAAACTGCTGCTGCAGAACCAGCAAAGCCTTAGCAAGAAAGATCAATCATCAAGAACAATCAAACATGATGACTTTGTGTAAAAGTTTATTTGGAAATTATTTTTGATTTGTTATTCTTTAATACTTGTAATCTATTTTGAATATTTGTTTTTGGTCCTGTGATTTTCCAAAGCTTTCACTCATGTGTTCTGGTCTTTCAGTGTATGTATGTATGTATGTGAATTACTATGTAATACTTTTATAACAGTACAGATAAAGAAGTATTGGTGGGGAAATTCAGCTCCTTCTTCTTAATTATCTGCTGTTTTAGTGTATTAATTATGTCTATTTAGTGCTGGATTTTTCTTAATTATTTGATATAATTGCTGTCTTGCACTGAAAGTTAAAGCTTATATGCAAGGAAACTGTACAAAAATGGTCAAAGATCTAGATGCTGCTCTGCTTCACTTGAATTCAAGAAAAGACAGGGAAGTAAAACCCTTGAATTCAGGCATGATCACCAACACTCTGAAAAATCCTGTGGGTTTTTTTAGTGTGGCTCTTGATTGGAAAGGAGAGTCCTTTCATTTTCCCCATGTTTGCATTATTGTTTTGAGGGAAAAATTAGGGCTGTTTGACATTTGATTTGAGTCCAATTTTATAAATTCAAAAATAGATTTTAAATTCAAAGGCCGAAAAATTCATTTGGTAGGCTCATTTTTAAAAACTCAATCCCAAAACAAACTACAAAAATACCCCTATTATTAAAAACAAAACAAATGCATTTTTCTTGACTTTTTTTCCTTGCATCGTTCGCTGCTGTTGGTTTGCTTGAGCTCACTGCGCTGCTGGTTCTCGTTCAAGCTTCAAGCTTCATGCTTCCATGGGAGAAGCTTGAAGCTTGCTTGCTCCCTCTCTCCCCATCTCTCTCATTGTCCTTCTCTCGCTTCGTCCATCTCTCTTTACCTCTCTCCTCCTCTCTCTTATCAGTTTAAACCCTAGAAATTGAGATTTCCAATATCAAAGGACAATTTGCTTTTCCTATTCCTTTTCTCTTTTAGTTTCTCGAATTTTTTTGGATAGCTGGGTTTTGTTTTTTGGTAATGTGAATTTTTGTTTAAATTTGATAATGGGTTTCTTTTGTTTGGTAGATACAACTACCTTGCTTATGGATACCAGGGGCTTTCAAGGTTGAGAGGTACAAAGACAAAGAAATCTTTGAGGTTGAAGCTGAAAGAGGAGATTCTAACAGGCCCCCCGAGACCCCAAATCCCCCTCCAGCGCTACGAATCCAGCTCGGGCAAGCCAAAAGGCGCTGACGTCAGTGAGCGAAAAAAAGAAGAAAAAAAATTCAACTTTTTTTTTAAAAAAAAACAACAAAAAAATTATGGATGTTTTCCCTATAAATACATAACAATTTTATTCATTTTCCACACCAAATCCTCATACAAACTCTTCTCCTTCCAATATTTGTAAATTGTAATCATTCTTGTGTTTGGGCCTAAATTAGCACGCCCAGCCCAACAAGAGGAAACCCAAGATCCAGAAAGGCCTAGCCCAAACCAAACCAATAGACTTGGGCCTTAAAAGAAAATCACCTCTTGGGCTCCAAACAAAATAAGCCCAACACGATTTGGATAAAGAAAGGGACCTATCTTAGAACCCACGTGATATCTTTGTATTATCAGGTTTGGAAAAGTCAACAAAACCAACTAGCAAAGAGTTGATAAATGGAAGGGTGGCTGGCAAACTGGAAGAGAGACCTCTGAAAATCTGAAAATCAAATCCCTCTTACATATATATATATTCAGAGATTTTTTCTACTTTACAGAGATGATGATTCTCCCAAGAGATAAGTAAGTTACAATCTCAGAAAGAGATAAGCAAGAAAGCAGGGAGTTGTTCAAACTGAAGAAATCAAACTAACCATCACAGATGAAATTTCACAAGGGGCAGTTAAAATTGGGAAAGGAGATTAGGTTTTTATTTTAAAAAAACAGAGAAGTGATCTTAAGGATTGATTGATGAGAGCGTATCTAACAAAATGTTAAAACTCTTCTATCTTGTATCTCTTTCTAGATTTTTAAAAGATTTGCCGCCCATTATTTTAAGAAAAAAACCCTAAACCTAAACATCTCTTATAAATAGAGGAGAGGGTGAACATGTTGAAAGACACTCAATTCAACAACAATCAATCAAATCCGATCAAACAAACAAACAACTCAAAAATCAACCAAAAAGCCCACTTGAATTCCAAGTGAAACCAGCTTCAGATCAGAATTCCAAAGGTTCAGACTTAGAAAAAGTCAATCAAAACGAGATTTCTCTCGTTACAAATTTGGTTAAGCAAAGAATCAAAACAGGTAGAGCTTGAGCTTTTCCCAAACATGAAAACCTCAACAAATTTCACTTCTGGCCTTGTAGACTGAAGAAACTGCAGTTCTGCCCACTCAAAAGCCTCACAAAAGCTTGAAGTACATTAAAGCTCTGCCAGAATTAAACCTTTGGTATCAATTTACAGCTGAAGCTTAGCAGTTGAAGTTGTCAACAGTCCAGTCCAGCCCAGGCATTTCCAGCCCAGTCTGGATTAGAGCCTCCTATCCAGACAGAAATGAATTTCCAGCTGTCCTTTCATCTTTCTAGCATGGATATTTATTTTTATAGTTCTGTAAAAGGCAGTTATGCCGAGACAGTTTAAATTCCATCAACCATTCTGGCAAGAACAACCTCTTTATACTGAGATAAATTGTTAAAGTCCTCACCAGTCTGAGACAAGAAAAGAACTTACTTGAAAGATATTTCTCACCCAAATTCACAATCGTTTGTTTGCAGAAATTAGTAACTTGAGGCGTAAGTTATCCATTCTAAACTAAGTATGCTAGAATCTTCATTGCTAGCAGTGGCACGCTCGCAAACCAAAGAAAGCTGACTTGTTGACCAGTTAATGGTTCACAAGGCAGTGGGGAACTTTGCCCTTCCACCACAGGAGTAAACGCAAAACGGGTGAACATCTTGCATTTATAAATTGTTTATATTTTCTTTCATATTTTTTTTTATTGCATAATCATTTTATTTCTTGCACTTCTAAATTGTTTATATTTTGTTGCATAATTTTTTTTTTCCTTGTCCTTGCCCTTGCCCTTGCCTTTTGGGGTGGAACCAAAAAAGGCAAGGCTGCCACTATTCATGTGAATAGTGACAGCCTTTGCTTTATCATTGCCTTTTGGAGTGGAGATGCTCTAATGGATCCAAAATTTTGAGGTCCTTTCTTGTTTTTCACACACCTTTAGAATAATTTGTTTGTAATAATTTTCTTTCTTGGTTGTGAAAATGAGTTGGTTCATTGAAAAATGCCCAAAGGCAAAAGATACACGGATCCAAACCGTGACCCAAGGCAAAAGATACACGGATCCAAACCGTGACCCAATGTGAAAATAGGTAAAAAGAGAGCCAGATAAAAGAATGGTGTACCCAATAACCAAAAAAAAAAAAAAAAAAAAAAGAGAAAAAAAACTCAATAAGTAGTGCTTTGCTTAGACATATATTTACAACCCCAAACATCATACTCAAGATTTCTAAATTCAAGATTTGAAGTAAGGATTTTCAAAGTCGAGATTGGAGTCAAGGATTTCTAAATTCAAGATTTAAGTCGAGAATTTCAAAGTGAACAAAATGAGTCTTCCATTTAAAAAAGAAAATTTTAAATAGAGCTGTTGCATAAGACAACTCATAAATAATGGATATGAGTTCAACAGTCTTACTCCTTAATGAGTGAACTGCTATATGCGATCACTCTGCCGAAAACCTTTTCCCTCTAGAGAGCTATGTGCACACGCATGTGTATCCTCTTGTCTTGAGAGATCAATTAAAAACATAAAAGATCAAATTAATATATTTCAGTATAAAATAAAAATAGTGAATGAGCTATTTGTAAATTTCTCCTGTACCAACATAAAATATGGGAGCTTCTACAATGAGGAGTTAAAGTGAGGAGTTAAAGTGAGGAGACCGATCCGACCGTCAAAACATTTAAAATATTTAAGTCCCATGATTTCTTTACATTTGTTGATGGTAAGATTTGACCTCCTCAAATAACCTCCTCACTTTAAGCCCTCATTATACCCTTTCCGCATAAAATATACACTAAAATATTGGGCCTTCCAAAACGACAAAGACAGAGACAAAAAGCACGAGCCCAATAAGTATAAATAACAGTCCACAGTCCATAATCCAAAACTGGAGAGTTTTAGAGGATCCAATACAGAAAACTCTGATGAGAGCACTGCGTTCTTCTGCTTCTTCCTGTCTCTGATCTTCTGCTATTCTGCTCTCTCTGACTCTGTATGCGTCTCTGTTCTCTCAGGTTCATCCATATCCATTTACTAAACAACTCCATGTATGTATTTATTTGTTATAGAAGAGAAAGGGTTCTGCTTTTTGGGTTCTATTCTATGTTCTCTCTCTACATTGATGCCAAGAAAAGGGCCTTAGAGTTCAACTATAAAGATCGAATTTTTAATTTGTTCTTTCACGTGTTCCGATTGATTTGCGTCGAAATTCACAATCTTTCTCATGAATTTCAGCTTCTTAATCGGTTTCATTGATAAAGAAATCTAGAGAACTACAAAAATTGGGGATAAATTTTGGGATGATTTTGCATTCATCCGTGCCACAATGGTTTATATTGACTTTTTTTTTTTACCAGATGGAGCCAGTAAGTTCATCAAACCCAGATCTTAGAAAAGTTGCTGTTGCTGCTGAAGTGGAGGGGTTTGGGCGTTCTGTTGATGAAATTTCTGCGAAGGTTGATACGGTGAGGCTTCGTTCAACCAATTAGAACCCAATATCTTCTTTAGGTGATTAAGAGTTTTAGTTTCTTCATTTGATCTGGGTAGGTGTTATACGATTAGGCACTTCAGTGGTTTGATTTTTTCATCATTCATTATCAATAAATCAGACAACTGCTGCTTGGCTTTGTCCACTTCCACCTTTTGGCCCAGCTACTATGGTTTTTACATCTATGGTTTTGTTCAAGTTTTTCCTTATTGGCATGTTACATCTGTCCAAACTTTTAAACTCGTGAATACATTGACTAATTTGTCTTTTTCTTGCAGCTTGAGAAAAGAGTGAACGAGGTTGAACGATTTTACTTGACTACAGGTAGTCCGCAACTAACCAATTCAAAAGGTAGCTCAATTGTGAAGGATAAACAGTTAAATCTTCTTAAGAAGCAGCAGCAAGATGCATCACGTAGGGAAGTCACTGCTACAAAGAGAATGCAAGAGCTCATGCGGCAATTTGCCTCAATATTCCGTCAGGCAAGCACCAACGCTATGCATTGCCTCATGATATAGGTCACTTAGCAATGGATGCAAGTACTTGGGTATATTTTGATGAAGATCTATGCTTACATATCAGGGTTCTTCATATGTCTATTCACTATTTTCTTTCTTGATAATGTGGTGGATATACGATTTTTTGACATAGTTCTACAGTAGTTTATTGGGGAAGGGGAAAAAAGAGGTACAATGTTGGGAACACAAACAAATATGTATGATCAAATATATAATATTGTGTTTTAAGTAGATATTAACTTTCCTTTGGTTGAAGACATAATCACTTGGACTCAATATTGAGGAACAATAGCAGCAGTGTATATAATTTTTATGAAAAGCTAGACATTTTTATCAAGTTTAAAGGACTAGATCAATTTCTGTGATCAGATGTTCATGTTGAGTGATATTTCCAATATCAGTTACAAGCTAAATGAGAAAACTTCAGTTGTCACTTGTCAGAAAGTTTCTTTTAGGTGAATATTATGTTTCAGAAATGCAAGAGCAAGGAGACTTATAAAATGATGTATTTTCTTTTTCTTGCTGGAAGAAAATTGTGTTTTTGATATAATGAATTTTCTGATATCTGGTATTACTGCCGTATCTAGCTACATGTTTAAGCAGACTTTGGTCTTTTCTCATTCAGTAACTCACACATGGTATTTCCTTAAATCTTCGGTTTGATGCTTTGATGCTAAAACAGTGATAAAAATGGTTTATCTGGGTTAATAAGTAGTTAATCTGGCCTTACTTGGCACTTTCCAGATCACTCAGCACGAATGGGCATGGCCCTTCAAGGAGCCTGTAGATGTTGAAAGTCTGGGATTGCATGACTATTATCAAGTAAAGTTTCTTCCCTCAGATCACTAATCTGTATGATCAACAATATGTGTACATTTTATTTTATCCCCTCTTCTTTTTTACTTATCATAAAGACGCTTTATGCATTTTTAATTGTTTTCACAATTTACTCATCACTACCTGCGTATGATACAATATACTTTTCCCCAAAATGGCCTTAATTAGAGTGTTAGAAACGGAAAATTTGTGTAACATTTCATTTTTAACTTTAATATACATATACTTGTATCAAAGTGACTTCTCTGTTGGTGACATCCTGTCATGTAGGATTCCTTCATTCCTTATTTTAAGTCTTTAAATTTCAACAAAGAAAAAAAAAATCCTTTTCACGGTATGCCTAATTTGTTCTGGGTTTCTTACATTAGGTTATTGAGAAGCCTATGGACTTTGGAACCATAAAAAATAAAATGGAAGCTAAGGATGGTACTGCCTATAAGAATGTTAGAGAAATATATGCTGATGTGAGGCTGGTATTTAAGAATGCAATGAAATATAATGATGACAAAGATGATGTCCACGTGATGGCCAAAACTTTGTTGGAAAAGTTTGAAGAAAAATGGCTAAAGCTTTTGCCAAAAGTTGTTGAAGAGGTAAATTACTATCCCAATATGAAAAAATATCTTATGTAGGCTTTCCTGGATCTTGTTACCAGTATTTTTCAAGGAATTCAGTAGTATTTCCTTATGAATGGAGGTACTTTCAGTTGTCATGCTTTATTATTTCAGTATAATTTTTTGAATTAAGATATTGTAGGAAACAAGACGAGTAGATGAGGAAGCAGAGGCACGACTACACACGCAACTTGCCCAGGAGGCTGCTTATGCCAGCATGGCTAAGGATCTAAGCACTGAGGTTTCTCAAATTTTTAAATCGTCATAGTTGCTTCTAAAGAAGCTTCTTTGTTTTCTCTTTATTCTAATTTTCATAGGCAACATACACAAAGCCAATGAAAGTTTGATGATCTTCAAGGAGTAAATTCTGATGCATGCTTTACATTGTGCTTTTTTCAAAAACAAAATCTTTCAGCTTGTAGAGATTGATCTGTATTTGAAGGACCTCAGAGAAATGGTGGTTCAGAAGTGCAGGTTTGTTAAAAACTGATGTCTACTCATCATTTAGACTTAAGTGCTTATGTTTTAGCACGGGTGTATATTTACTTTTATAAACTTCAAATCAAAGTTAAACCTGCAAGTGAAAGGATGTGCCCCAGGGGCAAGCATGCGGGACTATATTGGTGGGGCATGGGAAGCTTAATTTGTTTTTCCTTCGATTGTTATTCTTCTATGTTAGTATAGTTGATTGCGGTAAGATTTTGTTGACTACTGTAGTCTGTAGTTGGCAAGTTCAGACTTCAGAGAAATTATTCAAGTGTGTGTGTGTCACCAGAGTTATCTAAGATTTTGGTAACTACTGTAGTTGGGTGACTTGGTTCTCAGGGAATACGGAATTGCATCTATTGATGCACGGGAATTGGCAAAATGGGATGTGTAACTTTATTTCTTGGCTGGTTAAACTGTGAATGGGCATTATTGAATCCAGCATTGTGTTATTTTTATTGATTGTTTTGGCATCTGTGATGAATCTATTTTGACTGTGTATTGATTTAGGAAAATGTCTTCTGTTGATAAGAGAAAACTTGGGACAGCTCTCACCCATTTATCTCCTGACGATCTCAGCAAGGCTCTGGCAATTGTCGCTCAGAATAACCCCAGCTTCCAAGCAAGTGCGCAAGAAGTGGATCTTGACATTGATGCTCAGGTCATTATTTGTTTTCTATTCGTTTATGTTGTGATCTGGCAATCATTTGAGTTGCATGCTGCAATATCAGCCATCCTATTTGAGTTTATTCAATTAATTTGGCTATGTCATTCTAATTCAGATATGTCTTCTTTTCATTCTTCCATCCCTCTACACAGAGTGAGTGCACATTATGGAGGTTAAAAGTTTTTGTTAAGGAGGCACTAAAAGTTCAGGGAAAAAGTTCTGAAGGCACTGCCGGCAACAAAGTTACAGCCTCCAAACGAAACAGAGAGATTTCTGACGCTGTTCCCAAGACTAACGCAAAAAGGACTAAAAAGCTCTCTTGTTTGTGATCTTGCTTGCATGTTGGGTGACTCAGTTCATTCAGTGCATTGCGTGAGAAATTGAATGTAATTATGTGCTGGTTAACTCTGTAAATGATAGAGCTATGGATCATTTTTCTGTATAGATACGTGATATAGATCAATCAACTTCTCGATTTCTATAAAGGTTAGATACATAATCAGACTTCTAGTCATTTGCTATGTTTTGTGAAAGGACACCCCTTGCTAAAGAATGGACCAAATGAATGTCCTTAGTCGTGTATTCTCTTGCAATTGAGGTTTGTTTTGATGAATTGCACCTGGCATTCCTAGACAACTTGTGTAGAAAGAATCATCAGCAAAACTTCAAGCATCACACAATAATTATTTCATATCTCCAATATAATTACATGGTATTAGAATAAGATCTTCATTAACAATTTTGATCAAATTTGTGCTATTACTGATGAGCGTAGAAATTGTAAAAACTCGAAGAAAGACATTCTAAATGATGAAATGTAGATTACTGTTGCTAAGAATTACACGCAGAGTAACAAGAACAAAAATAAATCCGGTGTTTTCACGCAAAGAATGAACTTTCATACAAGCAAATCCCAGGCGAGCACCGAATAATTCAATTGTGTGCATCTGACATTCCAACAATGGTTTCCAAAAGTCAGAAGAAGATGAGAACAAAAACTAGACAAAAACCATTTATCCATCATGTACACGTTAGAAAACTAGTTTTTTTTGCCCCTTGCTATCCATAACCTACTGTTGTTTGTTACTGCCTCTAAGAAACGGCATTATATGGAACTGAGAGAGCAAAGACTCCATGACCCTCGAAGAAACTGTTTTATTTGCTACCATTCCCTTTGACTCTAGTTGAGAATCAAAATCCCGCCAGAACTTGATGATTTGTAGATTTTCTTCTTCTGTCAATCTCTGGACAATGATTCTGGAAGCATAGCCCTTTTCTTTCATTTGAAGGCATATCTCTGAGGGATTGTTTTCTGTAAGAGTGACCAAGTACAACCAGCCCTTCTCCGACAAAAGATTGTCAGCAACAGGCAGTATCTTATCAATCACGCTACGGCCATTCTCCCCTCCGGCCCAAGCAGAGCCAATTCCTTCACGACCCACTTCATCTTCAGGGGTCGGCACATAAGGCGGATTCACAACTATAACATCAACCAATCCTGCTAGACGCTTCTCCAGTCCTGATGCAATGTCAGTGGTTATCAACTCTGCATGAACCCCATGTGCTTCTAATGTCTCACGAGTCACCCTCACTGCATGGGGGTTGATATCAGTTGCAATATAGTGTGCCTCCTGGCCAACAATAAGAGCTAGAGAAGTAATTACATAGCCACTGCCACAACCCAGTTCCAGGCACAATGTTGGTTGATGCTCTAACAGGTTCTTTCGATCTGCTAAAAGAGCATCTACTAGAGCAAATGAATCATCACACGGTTCATAAACCTCTGGATGAGAGCTTACAAGGCGGATTTGGGCGATTCTAGAGGACATCTTGTATGGGACCTATCATAACAAAGTAGTTTTCCAGGAAAAGAGAGAGTAAAGATTGATGTGATACCAAAAAAAACCCAACAACCAAAACCAAAATCCATGAGCATGATTATTGGAACAAATGCTAAAACCCACCTTACCTGTCCATTACTCCATTGCTTCCCTTGGTTGGTAGTTTGGACAGAAATCAAAGAATCTGTTTTGGGTTCCAGCTCCAGGTAGTTCTGGTGTGTGCCAAAGAAGCAAAACACACAAAATCAGCTTCACCACGGAACAAAATGGGCAGCAACTCATAGTATTTGAACACTCTAAATAATCATAGTACACTTTCAGTCTCAGCAATAATACTTCAAAGTATGATACTTAACAAAATCTGAATTTAATAATAACCTAAGAACAAACTCAAATGTTCAATGAGTGAAGGGACGAATCCCTCAAGAATTCCAAAATTCAGATTCAAAATAACGTACAATGACGCAGTGATTTAGTAGTTGATATAAGAAATTGCACTACAAAAGAAGTGATTGATAGAAAGGAGACGTCTTTAATAGAAAAGCCCAAAAGAAATACATTAAACAAAAGTCAGTACCTTGAGAAATCAAACAACAAGAACTGATTCGTGGGTTTCTTCTTCCTCTTCTTGCTTTGAAATCTTTTTACGGTTCTTGGAGTTCGTTTATTTATTCCGTCTCGGTGAAAGCGGGAACTGGAGGTTGCAGCCGACTAGAGTGGAGAAGATGAAGAGTTAAAAGCTAAAACTCAGAATAATGCGGAGGGAACAGGAAGGGCACATGCGCTCCGGGTACAGCTGATTCTCCCTCTGAACTGGCCTATGTTTTCACCACTTGGGCTGTGCTATCCCAAAGGCCCAAAGATTTTATTTATTTCTCCCAAGTCCTTGCAACAAAATGAAATTTCAATTGGGGTGTGTTGGGATGCTTTCCCATCAGATTCTTCACTCAGATGACACACACAGCTTTTGAAGATCCAAACCATCCATCAATTTCAATACCACATACCCCTGCTTAGCTCTCTCTCGCTCTCTCTCTCTCTCTCTCTCTCTCTTCAAAAATAGGTTTTTTTTCCTTATATATCTCTATTGTCACCCCCAAATTTTGCACTAAATTACATAACAACCACTTTGAAGGTCGAATTCTCCCACCTAGTTTCTGAAACCCAGAGCCTTGGGATTGGGTTTGGTGGGAAAGTCTCTGACTTGGGTTAGATCACAAATCATACTGTGGAAAATTCCTCGGTTTTTGCTGGTTTTTCTGAAGGTTTAATGGGTTTTCTTCGTTCCCATTTGATTTGTTGACTTTTAGATTGAGAATTTAATTAGAAGGCGTTAAAATTGAAACATATTAAATTTTATGCATAGATGTGATCAGAGGATTCGAACACAGAGACTTCAAGGGTGATGTATCCTTAAATTGGTTATTTAATAAATATTTGATGGTAGGTAATATTTTAGCTTCCTTTAACATCCCTCAAAAGAAAAAGTCCTTTAGCAGTAGGAGAAGTTAACGCGTATTTGAATAGCCTTAGAAACAGAGAAAAGTTTGAACTCTGGCAATTTGAGTCTGCCTGCATCTGCCCATCAAAGAGACGAAGAGAAGCAACAGCTGCCCACCTCAAAGTTCAATTCAAAAAAGCCTTTGTCTTTGACCAAGGTAAAAAGTCTTTGCCTTTCTCTTTGCTTCTTTACGTTTTCGTCTGTGGGAAAATTGAGTAATTTTTCTCAAATTCTGTTTCCTAAGCTTTCCCAATTTTTTGGGTTGCAAGATATAAGGTAAAAACAATTTCTTTACTGTAGAATTTGTGTTTTGGGATTTTCTTTTGGAAACAAGGGGAGAGAAGAGAGAGTTTGTGATTGAATTCATGGACAAGACGAAGGTAACAATGGAACCCAAGAAGAGTGGTGGTTGTGGGGCATTTTATGTTCCTGGGAATGATAGAGTTTTTTATAAGCCTCCTGAGAAGAAATCTCCTTTTGGTTTACATGTCTTTGCTAATGCTAATGCAAAACAGGAAGGCTATATAAGTGAGAGAATAGATAACCAACATGATAGTAGTGATAATGGTAAGGATTATTATCATCAAAGGAAATCCGGTGGACGATATGAACAAGATCAATGTGGCGGAGGATATGGAAGAAAGCAGAGTAGATATGAAGGTTCAATGAGGAAACATGGCAGATCATCTGATTGGGATGATGGGAGATTGGGATGGCAAGATACACCGCGGCATTCTAGTTACTCTAACGCTAGTAAGCGCCATCAAGCCGGTTCTGCTGCTTCTCCATGGGATTTCTCGCCAGTTGAAATTCCTTCTGGATACTCAATCAAATCTTCAAGTTCGAAACATGGTGCAGGTTCCCATAAACTGACTGTTTATTCAGAAAATTCAGAGTCATTCAAAGACGGAGAAGGTGATAAGACTGATTTGGATGAAGAACACAAATACGAAATTAGAGAAAGCATGCGTCAAGAGATGGATTACAATTCTGACGTTGCATGGTATGATAGAGAAGAAGGAAATGCAATGTTTGATACAACTGATAGCTCATCTTTGTTTTATGGAAATGATGCTTCTTATCAGAAGAAGGAAGCAGAGTTGGCAAAAAGATTTCTTCGAAGAGATGGCACTAAGATGACCGTTGCTCGGAGCAGAAAAATGTCTCAGCTCAATGCTGATAATGCTCTGTGGGAAGATAGTCAACTTTCGAGATCTGGTGCTGTTAGTGCGACAAAGGCACAGACTGAGATTGATGATGAAGAAGGACACAAAGTTACTCTTCTTGTGCATGATACAAATTTAAAGCCTCCTTTCCTGAATGACAGTGCTGTTTTTACCAAGCAAGCAGAGCCAGTAATGCCAATAAAGGATCCCACGTCTGATATGGCTATAATTTCACGCAAAGGGTCTGCTCTAGTTAGAAGAATCACTAAGAAGCAAAATTTGAATAAATCTCGTCAACGGTTTTGGGAGCTTGCAGGTTCCAAACTAGGTGAAATCCTTGGTGTTGAGAAAACAGCAGAGCAGATTGGCACAGATACTGCTGCCACAGGTACAGATGGTGAAATTGATTTCAAAGAAGATGCAAAGTTTAAACAGCATATGAAGAATGAGGAGGCTGTGAGTAAATTTGCAAAGTCAAAAACCATCTCACAGCAACGGCAGTGTTTGCCCATATATTCTGTGAGGGATGAATTACTACAGGTAATTCGAGAAAATCAAGTTATTGTTGTTGTTGGAGAAACTGGTTCTGGAAAGACAACTCAACTGACACAATATCTGCATGAAGATGGATACACAGTAAATGGTATAGTAGCTTGCACCCAACCAAGGCGTGTGGCAGCCATGAGTGTTGCAAAAAGAGTTAGTGAAGAGATGGAGACTGAGCTTGGCGAGAAAGTTGGTTATGCTATTCGTTTTGAGGATGTGACTGGACCGAATACCATAATTAAGTACATGACTGATGGAGTACTTATGCGTGAAACACTTAGAGATTCTGATCTTGACAAGTATCGCATAGTTGTGATGGACGAAGCCCATGAAAGGTCACTAAACACGGACGTGCTTCTTGGGATTTTGAAAAAAGTGGTTGCCCGACGTCGTGATTTTAAGCTCATTGTGACGTCTGCGACACTAGATGCTCAGAAATTCCAGACTTTTTTTGGAAGTGCACCGATTTTCGAAATTCCTGGAAGAACATTTCCTG